CTCTTTTCAGTGGTGCCCAGTGACAGGACAAGGGGCAATGGGCACAAACTGAAGCACAGGAAGTTCCGTCTGAACATGAGGAAGAACTTCTTCCCTCTGAGGGTGACGAAGCACTGGAACAAGCTGCCCAGGGAGGTTGTGGAGTCTCCTTCTCTGGAGATTTTCAAGATCCACCTGGACAAGGTCCTGTGCAGCCTGCTGTAGGTGACCCTGCTTTGGCAGGGGGGGTGGACTAGATGACCCACAGAGGTCCCTGCCAACCCCTACCATTCTGTGATTCTGTGATTCTGTGATTCTTTTAATGGTGTCTGTACAGAAGAGGGAATGTGCTCCTGAGGGGCTGAACTGACCTCGTGCCATGAGGAACTGTGTTCTTTCTCTCAGTCTGCATGAAGCTTTGCCGAAGCATCTCCCCAGTTCAGTGCTAGCAGGAAGCTCATCTCAGGCCTATGCCTCCTCCTGACTTGCGCGTCACTGGGCTGGATGCTCTGCCTAGGACAGGAGGATGAGACAACTCTCTGGACAAGAGGCGGAGCTGCTGAGCAAATTTCTACACAGGACAGCCTCCACCTCATGCCATGTGTTTCTTTTGGAAAAAGACCTCTAAGGTGTGAAGACATGCTTAATGCCTGCCTTTTTCTCTCACCCTCACTCTTCCGGATATGCACAGGGCCCTGAGAGATGGTTGGGCTCCTCTTGCATTTGGCATAACCAGAGTGTGTCAGGAGAACAGACCCCAAACAGACTAGCTGCAGATCCTGTATTGTGCAGGCATTGTTGGTGTAAGGGCTCACTACCACTCCCTGATGTTCACACCATCAGATAATGTCATTCCAGATTCTGACCTGGCTCCTCTCCCCAGGCTGCTTTCACTGCCAAGCTGACACACAGTCTTGTGGAGTGAGCAAATATTACACACAAATGTGAAACACCCCAGGGATATGCAGGATGCTGTTGCACAGTCTGCTCTGAGGTGCTTTCATTGTGCTCCCACTACTTCCGGCACCCCAAACAAAGGAATCAACACCTTGAAGGAACGTTGGTATTGGGGAAAAAGCAGGGGGCAGGTGGAGGAGATGGATGCTTGAGCAAGCCTGACCCACATGTGTGGAGTTCCTCTGGAGAGGTCTGGATATAGGCTAGTCCATTGCCCAGCAGCTACGTTGATCTCCACTGAGAGAGCAATGAGGCAGCTTTCACCACTTCTCCCTTTGCTGATGAAAATTTAGTGAGATTAACCCCCCCTGGCTCCCTTTGTGCACTGCAAGGATCAAGAAGGGACGGAAAGGACTACAGGCAGTCCAGAGACCAAAACACCTGTGGTCCTTTCCAGGAATTCCTGGAGGCTTCTCCCTCAGCAGAGATCACAACACTCAGTGGCCACCTCAGGACTCCATCAGCCAAGGCCAAGGGATGCCTTATGCTGTTCATCTTGCCCTTTCCTAACATGTGTGTCATTTCTCGGGGTGAACATGAAGAGCGAGGGATTCCCAGGCCTGTGTTAGTTTCAACCCTCCCTGTTGTACTGGGGAAGTTTTTCTCACCTTTTCCTGAGCCATTCCACCCAACCTGAAGAGTGGGACTGAGGCATTTGTCTTTGGCTTTCTGCATTAGGGCTGCTGTGGGACTGGAGGGAGCATGGGCACCTCCCAGCTTCCCCTTGAGAGAGGAAGTCAACAACAACACCCACTGCCTTGGTGTTGTCTCTTGGAGGAACACCAGAGACAGGTCCCCTTCTGAATGCAGGGTGGTTTCAGTGCCTTTCTCCATCTGGTCACCGGGGGAGCATGGGATTTTGTGACTGTCACACAGGACAACAGGTGTGGATGGGGACACAGAAGCTCTGCAAATGCAAGTTTTTGAACCACCTTTTCTTCTTGGAGGAAAAAAAGCATCAGAAGCTGCACAGCAATTCAGCAGGGTATGTAACACTGTACCACTATCTAGAGAAAAAGGAAATTTAGGAATAAAAAAGTGAAGAGAAGGAAAAAAAGAAAAAATAGCCATGTGCAGTTGTGAAACTGGCTGTGGAGATGCAGAGACAAAGGATATTTGGCACCTCATTTTTCTTCCTTTTCCAGAAGAAGGATTATTCAGATCAGCCCTTACCGAAACCTAGCAGAAGGGGGAACCTGACACCCATATCATAGCTTGAAACCTCCATAGAAGTGTATAAACACATTTCTAGGAAAAGAAAAGCAAAATGAAACAAAATATTTAATGTGTGTATTTTGGTTTTTTCATGAACAAAGTGTCATGAAGAAAATGCGTTTTTTTGTAGTTTTCACAGGTATCTCTGAAACTTCCTTTTGCCTATAAAATGTGCCTTGACATGTACATCACAAAGCCTGTATCTGTTGGAAAGTAACATCTGCATATCATAGGTTGTACACAGGGTTATACTGATTGAACTACTATCAAAAAGGTGCTTTTGAGAGTGGAGATGTGTGTACCAAAGAGACAAGCTGTGTGTTTACGATGGTGCTGGTAAACACAGGGAAAACTACATCATTTATGACTCTATATGTAGGCATGAGTACTTACGTATTCAGCAACTAATAAGTTAGTTTTTTCTTAAAAAAAAGAAGCCGCAGAATACTAAGTCATTTCTGAATGTGGATGAATGAGAGGGGTCAGGGCTAAGGAAGGGGGAGATGGTGAAAAGAGGAGGAAAGGCTGAAGTGGAAGTTGCATGAAGAAAGTGAGAATGAGCTGCTCTGGTGCTGCAAGATCTCACCTGCTCATTGTCAGGAGCAATTTGGAGTCATGCCCCGTTCCGGCACTGAAATTGCATGTTTTACAAAACAAGAAGGGGGGAAAAACCCAACCCAAAACAATGAAAGCCTTCTGCTAGAAAAAGATCACTACCATAAGCCTTCTGCATCCCGAATCACCCACCTCCTGCAGTTTCTTCCTTATAAAAAGGAGGTGGCAAGAAGCAGCTCGCAGTCAGGTTCTCACAATGTTCTCGGAACTGGCGTGCTTGCAGCTGGCAAAGTGTGTGGGTTACACGGGTGCAAGGGAGCGCTGGAGCCCAGAGACGACTGAATGTGGGGCAGCACGGGAGGAAAAAAAGCATCAGAAGCTGCACAGCAATTCAGCAGGGTATGTAACACTGTACCACTATCTAGAGAAAAAGGAAATTTAGGAATAAAAAAGTGAAGAGAAGGAAAAAAAGAAAAAATAGCCATGTGCAAGGTGTGTGAGGGCGAGCGTTTCACCTGCTGTGCTGCTGATTCTGGGGCTGCATTGGCAGCACTGGCACTGGGACCCGGAGTGCATGGATGCCTGAGTATACCTCTGCTTGTGCCTGGGGCCCCAAGGACTACGAGCTTTTGTGTATTGGTTTTGTTTGTTTTGTTTGTTTGTTTGTTTACATAGGCTTTTAGCTTTTCAGTATTAATCTTCTTTCCACCCTCCTCTAGGCTGTGTTTTCCCTATCATGAGAGCCCTCCACCGAGACTTCAGCCTGGAAGAATCACTCATTCATCACAGAGGTCATCCTCCTAGGATTCAGCAGTCGACCTGGGCTGCATGTTCCTCTCTTCCTACTATTCCTCATGATCTACATGATGACCATGGCTGCAAACATCTCCATTATTGTGCTGGTGGCAGCTGACCGACACCTCCACACCCCCATGTACTTCTTCCTAGGCAACTTGTCCTGCCTGGAGGCCTGCTACAGCTCCACCATCTTGCCCAGGCTGCTGGCCAGCTTCCTGACAGCGGACAGGGCCATCTCCATCCTCTGCTGCATCCTGCAGTTCTCCTGCTTTGGTTCTCTCACAGGATCAGAGTGCTGTCTTCTGGTTGTGATGTCTTTTGATCGCTACATGGCCATCTGCAGACCTCTGCACTATGCAGCCCTGATGAGGACCAGATCCTGCCTACAGCTGGCAGCGGCATCATGGATCAGTGGGTTCCTGGCCATGGCTGCCAATGCCTTCTGGTTGTCAGGCATGGTCTTCTGTGGCCCCACTGACCTTGACCACTTCTTTTGTGACTTCACCCCACTGTTGACACTGTCTTGCTCTGACACCAGCCTGATGGCTCTGCTGACCTTGCTCCTGTCTGCTTTGTTCACCCTGCCCCCCTTCCTCCTCACCCTCACCTCCTGCCTCTGCATCATCGCGGCCATCCGGAGAATCCCCTCCTCTGCTGGTCGGCACAAAGCCTTCTCCACCTGCTCACCTCTCCTCATCATGGTCACCCTCTACTATGGGACAGTCACCTTTGTCTACGTCCTCCCAGACACTGAGATGCTAGGGCCCCTGAACAAGCTGTTCTCTCTTTTCTATAGAGTCTTCACCCCTCTTGCCAACCCCTTGATCTACAGCCTGAGAAACCGTGAGGTCAGAGAGAGCCTCAGGAGTGCTTTCAGTGCCCGAGTCCGCTATGCCTAGGTGTCCCCTTTCCTAGCTTACTGTCAAGCCCTCTCCTGGGGTCCTCCTCCCCGCATCCCTACGAGGAGGTTCCTATTTCCTTTCGGCAAGGCTTGAGCGGTGGCCTAGCAAAGCCAATATTGCCACCGCCAGGAGCTGGCCCCAGGACTTCAGCTGCTGTTCCTTATGTGAGGGGCTCCTTGTGCCAGCTCTGCAAGGCCCTGTGCTGCACTCTTAGGCTTCTTAGAAGCTTGTTATGGGAACCTGCTGCCTTATGGGACACCCTCCAGGAGAGCAGAGGCCAAAGGCTAGGGTTTCCCTAGAATCTCAAACATGATGTAAAAACACAAGACCTTTAATTCAGGCTGAGAGAAGAACATCCATCATGAGAATTACTCTCCTTGGGGTTTTTAGAGGTGGGAGCATTCCAGTGTCTCCCTGACTTCTCCAAAAGCCCCAGAGCTCCCTTCACCCATGCCATCTGCCTCTATCAAGGCCCCTGTGTCTCCCTGACTGTTCCCCATCTCTACCTGCCTGTTCTTGGCATCCTATTCAGAATGTCTGTCTGGCCAGCAGGACCCCTGGGCTGGGCATGCTGGTCTATGTGCTTGTGTGTGAATATATGCTCTTCCCCTGAAAATTCTGCTCATCTCTTCCCTCCAGCCCTCTAACCCTCAATAAAACCTTAGTGCAAATAAACCCGATTTGGGCGGTTACTGTTTGGGAAACAGAGGGAATCCAGCCTGTCCCTTCTACCCTGCAGCCAGGCTGTGCAGAAGTGGGTTGCACCATTTGGTTTCCTCTGTCTGTGGGCACCTCCCACACCTCTTGTCTAATGTCTTGCTTCTCCCCACATCCTCCTGTCATGGCCCATGTTGTGACAAGCACTAGCTCTTTCATGAAACCGCACCACATGCATGGGCATTGGAAACTCATCTGCTTTTTTTCTGCCATGGGCTCTGCCTTTACCAGGGAAGTGTTTTGACCAGCAGTGACTGCTGTGGTGGGACTGACTTCCGTGCTGTTCTGGTAGCCAGGGAGAGGGAGATCCTGCTCTGGGAAAGGGAGCTACCTGTCTCCGTGGTCAGTGCTCTGCACAGGGATACTGTCAAGCCCCAAAGTCACGCTTGCTCAACTGTTTCCCTTTATCACCACAGTGTTAGCAGCAGTATCATCATGGCACTATTACCAAGATTTTCTTGCTGAACCCACAGGCGCAACAATGTTCAACTCTGAGAGATCTTGCAGGATCCGTCTTTGCCTCTTCACCGAGGGTGGCTTCCCAGTGCAGATGGGAGTGAGAAGACCACTGAGCAAATGCATTGCATTTATTCTGCTGGAGGTGCAAAGGAGAGTTGAAAGGAGCATGAAGAGGTGGTGTTGTGTATTGCAGCAGAGAGTTGTTTCTTTTTTACTGCAGTTCAGCGCTAGACTTTGCTTCTTCATTCTGTTTTGGTTTGTTGCTGGGATATCATGTTGTTCAGTGTTGTGCCCCTGACCTGAGGGTCACTGATCCCTGTGCACACTGATGGGCAATTGTCTACAATGAATCTCACCTGCCATGTGCTTTCATAGCTATGTAGCTTTAGGAGGTCTGCCTGCTACTCCCTTCACTTTCTGAGAGCCTTCATTACCCTGCAGGGCTTGTATTCACGCACCTGTGTTCCTATATCCCACCTCACCCATTTCAGGGCAGGGCAGGGTGTAGAGGGAGAGGAGAGAATCACTTACAACTATGCTGGTGAGGACAGGACTAAGCGCAGACCCCTGAAGAGCTCCCCTGGGACCCATCCAAGATATCCCACAGTGTCTCTTGTAGCACACATCCATTCACAGTATTGTGATGGCCTTTTCTCAGTAGTATTTACCACTCTAAACTTTTTTGTACATGCCTTTTCCAGGTCAGAACATCTAGGGAGAGTTTCAGTGTACAGATGGGCTTAAGATATAGGGGTGGGCCTAACTACTGAAGCCATGGCACATATTATTCACGAATGTGAAACATGCACCGTAATCCAGTGAGCAAAGCAAGTAAAGCTTCTTGCACAAAGCATGGTGGCTGTGATATCAGTATGGAGAGGCCTCACTGATTACATCACACAGCCCCAAATCTGCCAAGACAAGCACCATGTGCTTCCTATGGTGCAAGTAACAACCAGATGGTTGGAAACGTGCCCCATGGCTCATACCACCACGCGAAACGCCATCCTGGGCCATGAAAAGCAAGCTCTGTGGTATCCCAGAAAGAACCAAGGGAGACAGCAGAAGTCATTTCTGAAATAACTTCATAAGCAGGTGGGCCAGGGAACACGGCATTGATTGGTTGTACCACCCCATCATGCACTAGCCTCCAGAAATATTGACCAAGAGAATGGACCTTTAAAGACTATACTGAGAGCAATGAGTGCTGAGAAATACAAGCAGGGGGATGCAGACTTAGCAGAACCCACATGCCTAGTTAAGACCAGAGGATCTGCTGACCGACCATGCCTTGTGCAGACATAACCCCTATCTATTGCAGAAGAATCTAAGGTCCCTATAGCATGCGTAGGGAACTGGCTGGATTGCTTTTGCTGAAGAACCCTGGTACGCTGGGTGGATAATGCAGGATGAAAGGGAAATATGACGTGCACCTGCACAAGGTTTAACCTTGTTGGAAAACAATCCATGATTTGAGTTGTATATTTTAAGAAGCAGTACAGCAAATATCACCCAAATGAACCTTGCAAAAAACTGAGCAAGTGCAGCAATGACCCAACTTGAGCCAGTTTTCATATCCAGCAACTCCACACAACACACCTTTGCTGTCCTGAGTAGCCACCATATCAAACAGAACCCAAGGCCTCAGGAAGAACCCTGAGGAATGTGTGAGGGACAGGATCTCCCTTCTAGGGGCTGGGCACCAGGGCTTGGTCTTTTGGCCTTATAGAACTTGTCAAGGTTTTCTCAGCGTCAGAGCCAGCTTTACCTTGCTTTTTCTTACCTGTCACCACTGTGTCCAGTTTTCTCCTTTAACCAGGACCCCTTCCCCAGGGAAGCTTTGTCAGTATCATCCCTCAGTGGGACCCATTAAAACTCCAAGGAACTTTGGAGTTTGCATCTGACTGTGACTTCTTGAGAGGTTTCCTCAGCTTCCCCTTAGTGTCTGAGTTTCACAGACTCAGCACCAAACACTCCAGAGGGATCATTAAAATTCTTTTGGGCTGGTCCCCTGCTACTGAGCTGGACCAGGCTCCTGGGATGAAGAGAGATCATGGCAAGCAGGCAGAGCTGCAGAGAGACAGCTCTGCCCAGGAGCAGGAGGGCTTGAGGGGGTTGCATGTGGGCACCAAGGAGAAAGAAGCTGGGCACAGAGAGGTTAAAGGCAGCTGAGAGTGGGAGGACTCCTGAGAGATCACTGAGGGAGAAATCTTCACAGCCTTTGACACGGTAAGTCTCTGAGTGCAGACCAATGCAGCCATGGTTCCTTGAAGGATCTCATAAATTTATACCACCTATGGGATCTCTCTGCAGAGGAGGAAGACAGACTCAAGAGTAGAGTTTTGCTACTACACTGTCAGAGGGACAGGACATGATGGCTGCCTTCTCATGGAGATGGCTGCAGGGCTGAAGCTAGGTGGGCATGGCTTGAGAGCGTGAACCCGGGTGTGCAGCTAGGGGTGTCCAAGGCTGTCCTTCAAGTAAGGTCCTGTCACCCCAGGGGGTTATGTCCTGGGGCAAGGACTCTGTTACCTGCCAGGGTCAGTAGTCAACCTGCCCCAGGAGCTCCTCATGGAGCTGTGGGGAGAAGCCGTAGGTGGAAGGAGAAATCCCCAGCAGAGCAGGGCAGGGTCCTTCTTCTGTTGAGAGGTGTGGGCCAGAGCTTCTCACAGCTCCAGATCACCTCCAGGACATTGGCAGAGGAAGCTTTTCATGAAGAACATCAAGGCAGGGTATACCTGAATGGGAAGGAGCCTGTACTTTTCAGTCTTCTAGATTTGGTGACCTCAGGGGTGGAGAGTGGGTTTGGACATGGAACAACTTCTCTCAGTTTGGGAGGAGGCATTTAAACTCCAAATCTGTTTCACTTAGAGATTTATGAACTGGGAAGTACTAGAAATAAACCACCTTTGGCTTACAGACAGCCCCAACATCACCCTTCCAGCCTCATCAGCATTGAGCTGATGCAGAGATACAAACTGAGGCAGCAGAGATATGGACAGAGAGTGAGACGAAGGTAAAACCAGAAATGTCATGGCAGTGGAAATTCAGAAAGCTCCTTGTCGTTCCCTCCAGTACAGACACCTTTTCCTGAGCAAGCTTTCCTGGTCGCCTCTCCCACCCAGGAGAGCCTCTGCCTTTGAGGTCATGGGGTCCAGGCCAGGAGCTGCCTCCTCTGCAGCCAGAGCTGCAGCAGAGCAAAGGTGCGTCTCTCCTGACACATAAACCACTTCATTCTGCAGAGAAAAGGGACTGAGAGCAACTGGCCTGGAAAGTCACCAAGTGGGAAGTACTGTGCTCTGCTGTGTAAGGAGAAAGCTTTACTGAGTGCCTGGCTGTCTTTCTCTCCTTTTCCCTATTTGCCAAAGGATCAGGTTATTGCTCCTCATTTTTGTCTCCTCTTCCTGATGCTCCTGTTCTTGCTTTTGGAAGCTCTAGGTTTTGGGGGTTAGGAGAGTGAGGTAGCCGGGGGCTGTGTCTGATGCATTTCAGACACTGACCCTGGGGAGCTCTAGACAATGCAGTGTGGGACTTGGAATCATGATGACTCACCCTTCAGGAGACACTGGGCACTGTCTTTCAGGCACCTGAGCATGTCCCTGTGTTGAGGACGTTGCAGAGCCCTTCACCTGTGCTGGGGGTACTTCGGCAGGGGAGGATGGGAACACAGTGACAGCCCCACTCTCCCTCACATGCACGCTGATATTACCATGTCAGGAGATAGACTGTAGATGGAAAATTGATGCAAGAGAGGCTTTGCCTCAGCCAAGATTGATTCAGACACATACTTTCCTGTTCAGGAGAGAGGAGCTGGAAAGGCTGGTTCCCTCCCTTGGCTCTTCCCTCCGAGAGGCAGATGGTCTGGATGCTGATCCTATCACACTGTAGTTAAACAGGGACAATGCCCACAAAGTCATTGAAGCAAACACCTCTCACTCAATTGAGGGCACCCATTGCCAGGAACGTCTACCAAATTCACGGGACGTTTGAGACTACTGCAAGAGCACAGGTCTAACTTCTCTGGAGCCCGTGGGCAGCGCCCCTGCTCGTCACTCAGCAGCACAAACCTGAGCTCACAAAAAGGAATTAAAGGAAGGATCCCTAAAGAAAGAGAAGTCGCTGTAGGGGATATCTGGGGAAACAGCATAAGACTGGCTCAGAGAAGTCTTCCCTCACTTGTCAATGTCTTCTTCTCTTACAACAGTCCCCCATTCCCGGAGAGAATAAATGTCCAACAGCAGCTCCATCACTGAGTTCCTCCTCATGGCATTCATGAACACACTAGAGCTGCAGCTCTTGACCTTCTGGCTCTTCCTGATTGTCTACCTGGTTGCCCTCCTCAGCAATGGCCTTATTATCACCGCCATAGCCTGTGACCACCACCTCCACACCCCCATGTACTTCTTCCTCCTCAACCTCTCCCTCCTTGACCTGGGCTCCATCTCCACCATTGTCCCCAAATCCATGGCCAATTCCCTGTGGGACACCAAGGCCATCTCCTACTCAGGATGTGCTGCCCAGGTCTTTTTTTTTGTCTGCTGTGCTACAACAGAGTTTTATCTTCTTACTGTCATGTCCTATGACCGCTATGCTGCCATCTGCAAACCCCTGCACTATGGGATGCTCATAGGTAGCAGAGCTTGTGTCCACATGGCAGCAGCTGCCTGGGGAAGTGGTCTCCTCTATGCTCTGCTGCACACTGCCAATACATTTTCAATACCGCTGTGCCAAGGCAATGCCATGGACCGGTTCTTCTGTGAAATCCCCCAGATCCTCAAGCTCTCCTGCTCAGACACATACCTCAGGGAAGCTGGGCTTCTCACAGTTAGTGCCATTTTTGGTTTGGGGTGTTTTGTTTTCATTGTGCTGTCCTATGTGCAGATCTTCAAGGCTGTGCTGAGGATTCCCTCTGAGCAGGGACGGCACAAAGCCTTTTCCATGTGCCTCCCTCACCTGGCTGTGGTCTCCCTGTCTATCAGCACTGGCATGTTCAGCTACCTGAAGCCTCCCTCCATCGTCTTCCCATCCCTGGATCTGTCAGTGGCAGTTCTGTACTCTGTGGTGCCTCCAGCAGTGAACCCCCTCATCTACAGCATCAGGAACAAGGAGCTCAAAGATGCCATAAAGAAAGTGACTCGATGGACATTTTTCAACACTGAAAAAATTACTAACTGTCTCCATAAATGATTCAGAAAGTATCTGATTCTAGACTGGTGTTGACTTTTTTTTGTGGGTTGTTTTGTCTGGTTCTGTTTCTTTCTGCTTTGTTTCTAATATCATTATTCTTATTATCATTACTGCTATTATTGTCATTCATGGTTATTATGTTCCTACACAAATCACAAATTCACAAAATCACAGAATCACAGAATCACAAAATCACAGAATCACAGAATCACAGAATCACAGAATCACAGGAGGTTTGGGGTTGGAAGGGACCTCTGTGGGTCACCCAGCCCAACCCCCTGCCGAAGCCGGGTCACCTACAGAAGGCTGCACAGGACCTTGTCCAGGCGGATCTTGAATATCTCCAGAGAAGGAGACTCCACAACCTCCCTGGGCAGCCTGTTCCAGGGCTCCATCACCCTCAGAGTGAAGAAATTCTTCCTCATGTTCAGGAAATCTTCAAATCTTTGTATTTGCGTCACTTCGTCTGAGACGTGTAGCTATTTGGTGTCACGTGGTGCCCTTATGAAAGTATGCCTTACACTGGCTCAGAGTTAGCCTCTTTCAGAGCATCTCTGTAATAAAACGGGATTCCCCCAGTGCAGTGCTTTCAGGCTGGGCTCTTTCTCCAAAGAGGCCTGAGGAACCACGCCTCTGAAGTTCCTCTGTCTCTTTGGGAATAAAAAGCTCAGTGTCTGTTTGTGGCCTTTTAGAGAGAGAGGACCGGATTTAAGAGTCACCGTTCAGTGTCTGCTGACAGGAGAGGTGATGAGTGTAACTGGGGTGTGCTTCCAGGGCTTTTCCACACTTGACGCTGAACACACCCATTGCCTAGGAGGGGAACGTGGAGCTGCTTGGAGAGGACAGCAGTTGTCAAGGGACAGCATGTTCCTGGGGTTGTGTGGAGATGGAAGAGGTCTTCAAAAAAGGGGTCTGGGGCCTGAAGTACAGGGCATGTGCAGACCTCCTCTGGGCACTCTCCAGTTCCTCCCCACCTGTCTAGAGCAGGAATTTCAGCAGAGGGACACACTAGTCCAGGTGTGGCCAAACTCAAGACGTTTGGGTGGCCACAATCCTCCTACTACGTCCCCCTATTCGGCTGGCCTTGTTTATGGTGAGTGCTCACCACTGGCTCATATGGTGTCCCTCAGAGTGCCCAGGCCATTTTTCTCAGGGTCACTGCCAAGTCAAGTCCCAGCCAGCCCTGCTTTATGGGCTATTCTTCCCTCCAATGCAGGACTAGCCACTTCTTCTAAAACTTCCAGATGTTTCTTTTGTCTGAATCCCAGAGTATCTCAAGGTCCCCCGGGACTGAAGCTCTGTTTGGTCAGCTCTTAATGTTTGCATGCAGGTGGCTCACCCTCATTGTGGTGAGCCATCAAGACTAGGTAACACAGCACTACAGACAATAAAAAGAGCTACTGGTTTTGTACTGACCATTGTAGCAATCAGCACATCAGCCTGCTTAGAAACACTATACAAGCCCAGAAGGCGAGCAAAGCCAGGGCCAGTGGGGAAAGAGAAGAGTTGGGCTGTTTGCAAAGGAATGTATGAGGACGATGAAAGAGAAGAACTTGGAAGTCGGAAAGAGGGAAAAGAAAAATCAGAGGTTCATCTCAGGGTGTAATGAGGGCTGTTTGGGGTTAGCTGCCTAGCAGGCTGGAGTCAATGACTTGAGTGGGACTAAAAAGTCACAGCTGGGTGGACCAGACTTTTATCTGCTTACTTCCATGATCCTGGGGAACCTGATGCTCTCCCTCTTATGATCAAGTGAAGATCTGTGGTGGAAAGAAATGCACAATCACAGATCTTGGAAGCAACCTGAGGCCTCTAGGCCAAGAAAACCACTGTCAGCAGAGAAAGGGAAATGAGGGTTGGGCTGTTTGCGTGCCAGGGTATGTTAGTTTAAGATGTATACCTACATAGACACACAGATGGGATGGTCAGGAGCTGGTCTTAACCCCTTTGTCTGCCTAGGAGCTGGCCCCAGGATTCCCTCATCCCTCCAGTTCTCCCATGCACAGGCGCAGATTGGTCTCTCCAGCAGAGAATCACAGATTTATGAAGCCTTGAAGGCAGTCCACTTCCACCTTCTCTGTGCTTCCTCTTCATGCTTGATCTTAGTCAGAAGCTCCTTTCTCATCCATGCCAGCTTCCAGCCACCTTCGCATGACTTCCTGCATGTTGGGGTTGACCATTCTGGGTCTCAAAGAGGTGATCCTTGCCCATCAAAGAGCTCTCTGCAGAATCCACATGGACACAGACATCCCCTAGTCCAAGGTTATGCTATCAGTCTTCATGGTATAAAAAGTTATGAACTTCCTTATCTTATTTTTATGTAGCTCAGATTGTATCCTGATTTAGCGTGATTGTGTAAGCAAACTAAGGAACACCAGCTCATCACAATGATCAGAAGAACAGACCTGCGCTGGAATGTCAGCTATTAGCAGTACGTGGGAAAACAGGCTACATCCAAGGGTGCTGAGAAATTAAGACAATATCACAGTGAAACCACTCTCTATCATCTTCGAAAAGTCATGGATACTGGCGGGAATCCCCAACAAGTGGCAAAAAGGAAACATTGCATGCATCTTTCAAAAAGGTCCAGAGCATGAGCTGGGGAGCTAAAGGTTTCTTAGCTTCACTTTAGATGAAGAACAGGTCCCAGAATGTGTTCTGTTCTATTGCTGGGTGCCTGAAAGAGAAGGTGACTGGATGAACTCAGGGAATACATACATCAGTTGCGGTCTAGCACTTGGAAGGCCATGGCGCATTGCTGTTGCACGCCCAATAAAGATTTGACCATCTCAAAGAAAGAGATGATAGAAGGGTAGTGCTAGTAGGTGGAGCCATTACTCAACAGTAAAGAAATCAAAGGAAGATCTGTCCAACTTACCCATCAATCTTCATTGCTCCCAGCTCCATCTAGATATCAAACACAAAGTGAAATATATTAAAATAAACACGTCCTTGGAACACAGTTTCTGCACTCAATGTGTTGGGAGGTAGTGTGGCTTTGCAAATGGCTGCTGGCATAGAAGGAGAGAAAGTGTCATGAGCTTGCTGGTCCACATCCAGGTCTTCTGAAAAAAATCACAAGAATTTACAGACTACCATCCAAGTTGTGAAAATGAAGACTGCTTACACAGTTCTTACATGAAGGCCTTCTCTGCGCGTGTTTCAACTTGTGCCTGACATCTTCATTTAGGGGTTGATTCAGTTGCCCACAGAGAGGGGTCTACTTCCTGCAGGAGACATGGGAGTAGCTGAAGCCTCCTCATGGGAGTGGGCAGTGTGACCCATGGCCAACAAGAGCCTTTCTACAGGAGGAGGCAGGGTAGGCCAAGGCATCTCAGTTGAGACAAGTGATTTCCCTCTTTTGACTAAAAGGGAAGCCTAGGCAATTGAACCCAAGGTGAACAATGTTACAGGAGATCACTCTCATTTCACTCTCTCAAACTAACATGGGCTCGCAAGTAATTCACAGTGGAGGGAATGAAAAGGAAGTGGGTCCAGATGTTGCAGAATCTGCTTGAAGATGCTTCTATAACCCCGACATGTTGGGATTAGTGCAGTTTTAGCGATTCAAAGGAGAGCATTTCATTCTCTATGTCTCTTTGCTTCCCTCTGTGAATCAAGGCAGCTCGTAACTTCAGCATGTGATTCAGGGTGCAAAAAGTGACTAAGGGCAAACAGAGTTTGGGGCAGGGAGCATTTTGGGGGTTCTTGGGATCTGTGCTTGACACAAAAATGTGTTTTCTATTGGTCTGAAGGCTATCCATAGTGGAAAGTGAACTTCAGTGGCAGTTATGTGCACTTAAACATACAGCTGAGGAGTGTCTGTTTTTGTTTGCCGAACTCTACCTTCCCTTCTTTTTCTTTGTTGGCAATTAAGAAACATCCTTCTGGGTCTGCATACAGCTTGTTCTCCAAGTAATACAGGTAGGAATTAGTGCCAATGAGCTGAAACATGCAGCTACCAAATTTTCTGGAAAAATGTCAGATTTAAATGAGGCTGTGTCCTGGGTTTGGCCAGGACAGGGTTAATTTTCACCGGAATCCAGGAAGGGGCACAGCCGGGGGGTGGGGGCTGACCCCACCTGGCCAAACAGAGCCCAGTATTCCATACCATGTGCCGTCACGCTGGGTTCCGGTGGGGGGGGAGCTGGGGGGCAGGAACTCACTCACAGCTCGGGAGGGCGCAGCCCCGGTTCGGTCCGGTCCGAGAGAGGGGGTCTGTTCTACGGGCTCTGTTCTGCGGTTTGTTTTGTGTATCCCCCTTTTCTGTATCGTTGTTGTTGCTGTTCCCTCTGTTTGCTGTTCTGTTAAACTGCCCTTATCCCGACCCACCAGTTTCTGCCTGGTTTTTTCCATTCTCCTCCGCACCGCGGTGGGGCGCAGGGGCAGCCGCATGGCGCTTTTGTTGCCGGCTGCAGCCGAAACCAAAACAGTCTGCTAAAAGGTAAGAGAAATAGTGGGGTTGGGAGATGGGGACAAAGACTGCCCATAGAGTGTTTGACATCAAGGTTCTTGACTTACATAATCAGACTCCATTAGGAGAAATTCAGGATCAGTATTGCCTGGAGACTGCAGATATCATTTAATGTTTAAGCAGAAAAATAAAGAAAAAATGAAAAACACAAAATTCACTCTTCTTGTGGTTTAGTGTGGAAATCTTTCGACTTTTGAAATCTCTCTAATTAACCACAGAAGATATGAGGAATTTGAGAGAACTATGCACAGAGACTTGCCTTGTTGGGGTATTTCACGTGTTGATGAGCCCTCTAGTGCCAAGTTCCTGAACTGCAGACCCTGAAAGATCGAACAAGCCTCTAGACGAGTAAAAATCAGCAGCAAACCTCCAAGTTTCTAGGGTGTTAGTGAGCCCCACTGATGGCCATCACTGGAGAGGCCATGGAGGGAATGAGCAGAAAAGTTTCCCAACCCTGAGCACTGGTGAAGGAGAAAGTCAGAAGCACTGGTTACAGGTGGAAACCCAGATGTGGAGGTGGCTTTGAAAA